CAGAATGATGTCTGCAGAGGATTAGCATTAAAGTATTAAAAACAATCCTTGTAATTAATTTCTGTTAGTTTTGCCAGTAAATTTAGTTAATAACGAGACTGTGTATTAACATGTGTGTCAAACTCACTGAAATGAATCCAGAAAGCCTGCACTCCAGTGACACGATGATTATTTGATTTAAAATCCACTGTGATGATGTAGAGTGGTAAAACTACAAAAAGATTGTGTCGTTGGCCAACAAATTATAGACCAAATTTAAATCTCATTTAAATCTACTCATCTTAAGCTTTACTTGAAACAAAACCATTATTATTGGTAACATAAATAATATCTCGTGTTTTGCATGTTTATGAATTCATCATCTGGCAAGCACTGCCTGCTACCTCAGGCATTTTTTTATTTAAAATAAGCCAGAGGTTATTTGCCAGCATGCCATTTATCATGTTTGACAGACGCTGTACCTGCAAGACTCGCGTTCGCTGCCTTTGAGGGCTTCTTGGGGCCACGAATTGAAAAATGTCATGGATTGTCACACGATCAAAGGAAAGTAAAAGCTGTATTGTAAACATGCTGATTGACTGTAGAGCAGCCTCCTGACTTGGACCACTGTGCTACAGACAGCCCAGCCACAGGTTACACTGGTTTCCACTGGGTTCGGCTCACCTTTATTCCATTTCTGATTACAGTTAGGTGGAACAGGTATGAGTCGGGCTGTTAGTCCTCTCGTCTATCTTAGCTACCAGTGTTTCCCTGTGCGCTCAGGTGACATCTTCCTAATCCTGCAACTGTTTCACTTGGATACTGACTGAAAAAAAAAGGATGTAAAGCAGATGCACGCTCAGTTTGCCCGAGGAGCTCTGCCAATGAAACAGAACAGCACAATATACAAGCTGCACAAGATGTCTCCAAGCACTTTAGAGCAATTGCAGAGCCCATGAAAGCGGTACGGGGTGCAAATATATGAAATTAATACAAGAATGGTAAGAATATGTAAGTCTCGCTGTATTTAATATTTAAAAGCAAGTGTTGCAGTGTTAAAAAGGGGGAAAAGGTTTGTCCTAAAGACCTCTGCGTTGTCCAGTGACATAAAGAGTACTGTGTTTGTAAAATACAGTTTATTATCCTACATGGATCCGACAGAGACCATTAGTAGTGCAGTACTATAACATGCAGCTTACGTAACATGCACACAGGCACATGGCTGAAAATGTTTATTCTGGGAGTAAAGTAGAAACAAAAAGCTGAGGAGTGACAGTGTAGCAGGTCACAGCCTAAATTTCACAAACGCTCAGTTTTATAAACACTTAACAAAAGTACTTAAGAAAAGCTAAATAGCTCTCAGCTTCTCTTAAATTCTGTATATGCGTCAGATTTGGTTTTCCCACGTACTGTAAAGCATTTGAAAGCATCCATGTAATCTGCTTTGGTGAAATTTAACAAGGTGATTTAACAAGGTGATGGTCCTTCAGTGATTTTAAACCTACTGTGGGTGGGGAAGAGCTCACCTCATCGAGTTGGCATGCTCTTCTGTAAATGAATTTATCAGAGCAATGCAAAGTAATAATCAGTGTTGGGGAGTAACGGAATACATGTACCGCC